GAATCAAAAATTGAAATAACTCTTAAAATAATGAAAACATACACATTTTATTTAATATATATATTTATTATGTTAAACTGAAGTAGAAAAAAACATACAAAAATCAGTTAAATGGCATTAGATTACAATTAATTTACCAGCCGTACTCTAAAGTACTCTATCGTACAAGCCCACTCTGTTTAGTAGGACCGCCGCTCCGGCTACTTTCATTATTTTTAACCAATGATTATTGTCCTTACTTTCTTAGAATACTGTTGCGTCATATTACCCATAATGCAATATTATTGCACGCATCACTAGATTGTAGAACATACATCACAAAATTTTGAATATACATCATAAGATTATCGAATATACATGTACATCACATGATGCTGAATATACATCACAAGATTTTGAACATACATCACAAGATTATAGAACATACATCAAAAGATTTCGAATATGCATCACAAGATTTAGAACATATATCACAAGATTCTGAATACACATCACAAGATTTTGAATATACATCACAAGATTATCGAATAAAGCAACGTTTTTACGCCATACAAGACTTTTTCAGAATATTGAATTGGAATTGAAATAACTAATCAATTTATTAGGAATCAAGAATTGGCGTGTTTATACTGTAGTTCTTTAAAAAAAGTGTTGTCAACTGGCAGTCTAGATCTTGGACACTAAAAATGTTCGTGATGTGAATTTGCGGTCTATCTTTTTGAGCTATACTGACTACTAGTGTGATGATATGTCATAAATATTAACAAGAATGATAGAAATAGGTTTTTGCATTTTTTGTAGTTTTTTTTATGAATTTCGAAAGGAAGACCCTTAGAAAGTATCGCTTAAAATTTTTCCTTAGATCAAAATATATCGAAATTTAATAATTCAATTTAGGGGCAGGCCTGCCCTGAAGGACTTTTATGCTAAAATTCACGCAAAAATCGGTGCTTTAATAATAGCCAGAATGCTGTTTAGACCAATTTTGGAGCTCGAGGTCAATTTCATTGTTGCAAATAATCAATTTTACGTTTCAAAATGAAAAATTTATCTGAAAAAAAAAATTAGAAAAATATACGATAAAAGACAATCACAGAACATTAACTTTGAATGGTGACTTTTCCCGGAAAATTGTTCTCCTCTGTAGGTCAAATCTTTTGTTATTACGAGAACATACTTTGTGTTGAGCTTTATTTCAAAGATTTAATTAAGGTGTTCAGTATAATTTCATCAAATTTCCTATGCTGAAACATACTGAGGTCAACTCTCTACCTTCATCAATATTTTGACCTTGACCTTTCCTTTGACTTTGATCTCACTAATATATCAGATATCCAATATTTTATGTAAGCTTATTCACTGATATACCGTATTATTTTGTGCGAATTGATCAACTGTATCCATTCTTTTATACGTTGACCTTTCCAATGTCCTTTGACTTTTTTATTTATTGTATACTATTATATTAATATTTTATAATCAACTGAGTTTAAAGAAACATTTAAGGTATTTTTATCAAACATCGTGCAGTAATATAAATCGTGTTACATTACTAATGGGTCCTCGGCGGGGCATTCTTGACCTGCGGACATACGCATATTTCTAGCTTTTATTTGCTTTGTATGGAGGTGGAAGTGTATCGCAGTACCTATAGTTTTATTTTCAATTTCAGGGCTTGGCAGTCACAGACCAGGAGATGGTTAAGACTTATGGTGATGTTGTTGGGTTAGTGGTCTCTCTCTCTCTCTCTCTCTCTCTCATTTTTTTATTGTGATGAAGAATTAAAGAATTCTTGGTTTCCAAAATTCGACGATTACGGGTATTATGCCAATGATCTAAGTATATATTTATGATGAAGAAATGTGCCTCTTCCTAAATAGTTAATTTCAGGGCCTCTTGGTTAGGGGTACTTGGAGGGGTACATAGACATAGTCTAAAAATAAATTGATGCTTTGAAATCTGCTCTTTGGTACTAATCAATCATTAATGATGAAATAAAATTTATGATAAAATTTCCAAAATTTTGAAATATGTGGCCCCAGGGTCAGTTGTTACTGTGGGATGGGATGCACAACTGGTTATAAAGTGGAGATGAATTCCTCTTTGTTACTCTGATCTACCTCTGGGTATTAAGTAACCAAAGTAAGCATGCTTAGTGTACAGTTATGATAAGCAATGGTGCCTCTTTCAGAATTGTGAATTTCATGGCCTCTGGTTTAAAACACAAAACAAATTCAATTGTTGGAAAGTTGTTACATGGTACTCAGGTGACCTATAGGGCTCGTGGGCCTCTTGTATAATAAGTAATTCACGTAAAATTCTTTTTTTTTTTTTTTTAGAGTTTATATGGGACACTCACCTCTGCTGTTGGTGTCAAATCCAGACACAATTAAAGAAATAATGGTTAAGGACTTCTCAAGAACTCCCAACAGACCAGTAAGAGTTTATACATTACAGGGAACAATGACCTCAGGTATAAATTCAGCGACCTTTGGTCTCAATTTTCAACGGAGAAAAGGCACCCCTGGTTCCATATACATGTATATTTTCCACGTTGAAAAATGAACCTCGGTGAATTTTCAATTTGACAGGTCAATATCTAACTGACAGAAATGTCCTTTTAACTTGACAATTATAGAATTTAAGGACTATCTTATTCTACGGAGAGTTATCTTTCTTATCAAATGGACATAGTACCTTAATAGAGAGTTGTCTTTCCTATCAAGTAGTCATAATTGTACCTTAAAATACTAGTGAGTCATAATGTGTTTCAACTTTGTTGTTCAGTTTGAACGAAGTTCGTAGAACTTGTAAGAAATATTATATAGTATACTAACCTTTCAAGCACTGATATTTATTTTTTTACCGTCAACAGAAGACGTTCATTACAAGAAATGAGATGAGTCACAGCCTGATAAATACGGACAATGACCATTGGCGATTTCTCAGGAACACTCTGCTGCCTACTTTTTCTTCGGGTAAAATGAGAATGGTAAGTCTCTTGTTTTGTACGTGTTTAGTAAATGCGCATGCATTTTCCCAATATTTCCCCAGAGTTATCGTTCCACCCATATCTCTGTCAACGTCTGGAAAGTAGTACGGAAGCGGAGACATGTGATTTTTTTTTCAGATGTTGTTTAAGGACAGATGATACAAACAAATTTTTTCCTTTGGAGGAGACTAAATATCGTGTTACAAGTTTAGAAAAGAGGATAATTCGTAGAATTTTTTCTGCTAAGAACTGGAAAATGAAATAGACTAAGAAAATATTAGTAATATTTTAATAAAATAACAAATAAAGACAAATAACACTCAATAAATGTTTATAGGTGAAAACAAATTTCAGAATATGTTAGTTTGGTGTTAAAAGTGTAATATAAAGTTTTAAAAAAAAAATATACCAAGCCAGGTGAATTTTATTAAGAAAAGCAAAATGATTAAAAAAAAAAAAAAATATAAAACCAGCAATATCACATAGGGTGATTTTTTCCATTTTGCTTTTCCTAATAAAATTCACTTGGCTTGGTATATTTTTCTAAATTTCATATTACACTTTTAGCATCCATCTAACATATTCTGAAATTTGTTTTCATATGTAAACCTTTACTGAGTGTGTTTTGTCCATATGTGTAATTTAAACGAAATATTACTAATATTTTCCAAGTCAATATCATTTACCAGTTCTTACGAGAAACTATTCTATGAATTATCCACGTTTCTAAACTTTTGACATAATATTTTAAGTCTCCTCCAAAGAAAAAATGTGTTTGTATCATCTGTCCTTAAAATGGCCCACGGAAAGATTAACACCTTTACTTTTCTATATATATACAAGTTGTTTGTCTATAAAATGTAATCTATATTGATATTTATCGGCAATTATTTTAAATTTTCCACGTTCGTAATATCCTGCCGAGAAATAGTCCCTTGTAAGATTGGATGGTGAAAAAGCGATATTTGTGTCGACTAATTTTCATAAATAAACTTTGATTTAAGGCAAGAATATAGAAGTTTTACATACATTGGTAAAAGTAAGTTTTGTCAAGAATCTTGGCATTTAATATCACATAGGCTGATTTTTTCCATTTTCCTTTTCTTAATAAAATTCACCTGGCTTGGTATATTTTTCTAAATTTTATATTACACTTTTAGCACCCATCTAACATATTCTGAAATTTGTTTTCATATGTAAACCTTTACTGAGTGTGTTTTGTCCATATGTGTAATTTAAACGAAATATTACTAATATTTTCCAAGTCAATTTCATTTTCCAGTTCTTAGGAGAAAATATTCTACGAATTATCCACTTTTCTAAACTTTTGACATGATATTTTAAGTCTCCTCCAAAGAAAAAATGTGTTTGTATCATCTGTCCTTAAAATGGCCCACGGAAAGATTAACACCTTTACTTTTCTATATATATACAAGTTGTTTGTCTATAAAATGTAATCTATATTGATATTTATCGGCAATTATTTTAAATTTTCCACGTTCGTAATATCCTGCCGAGAAATAGTCCCTTGTAAGATTGGATGGTGAAAAAGCGATATTTGTGTCGATTAATTTTCATAAATAAACTTTGATTTAAGGCAAGAATATAGAAGTTTTACGTACATTGGTAAAAGTAAGTTTTGTCAAGAATCTTGGCATTTAGACGTTGAAAGAGGTGTTGTAGCGAAGCGTAATACGCCCTCTGGTGAGAGATTGGCATTTTCCCGTGATTTTTTTTTTTTTATAGTAGTGGCCATATTTTTTTAATTTTCTCAAGCACTTAACAAGTCAAACTTTAGACAAGTTTTAATTACTAGTACATTTGATTAAATGTTTACAATTGCAATTTGATAATCTAGCTATTAAAATGCTTCCATGTTTAAAAGTTGATACGTATTTCGAATTATGATTGTAGATGGAACCATTATTTAAAGCAAAGTACGAACAATTACTGGAAAATCTTAATAATAAAGTCAAAACTGGAAAACCGATAGAGTTTAAAGAGTGAGTATAAATCAATTAACGTAGATACTGACATTTTATTTCACAAAACACATAAATTCTAACGATATGATGTACATGATGTAAATTATTATTGTTTCATCGAGGGTTATTTTTAACAGGGTATTTGGTGCTTACACGATTGATGTTATAGCCTCGACTGGATTTGGTGTCGACATCGACTCTCAGAAAAATGCCGACAGTGACTTCGTCAGACATGCCAAGACATTCTTCAATATTTCGTTTAGCCCAGTCCTATTATTAATCCGTACGTAAGATATATTCGATACAAAGGCTTTGTGCAATAATGTACATTTATTGACTAAATCCGAGGGCAGCATGCGTTTTGTCAGACCGAAGAACCAAACTGTTTGCCCGAGGCCGTAAGGTCGAAGGCAGACAGTATGGTTCGAGGGTCGGTAAAATGCATGTTGCACTCGAACTCAGTCAATAAATGTTTTGTTATTATACCTTTCATTTTTATTCATTTTTTTGACATACATGTATGTTGTACTGTATTCCGTGATGTAACCTCAAGTCCCTCACCGATGAACAGTCAGAACACTAGCAAATGAAAATAAGATTAAGCTCCGCCCATTTTGTGACGTAAGAGGTCCAATATCTCACTGGCGGTCAAACATAAATTTATTTATGCCCGCTCGGCAAAACAGACTTTTTCGTATAGATTTGTATAGGAACAAATTTTTAATTTAAGCGATTGTTCTAAAATAAGTAAATAAAATGAATAAAAAAATTAATTCAAACAAGCAAATTCAAAGAATTGTGGTCCCCCGCTTTCGGTGTCTTTGTGGGCGAGATATTATTTTTTAGGGTCAAGGTCAAAAGGTCCAAGTTATTGGTATCCCATGAAAGGTCTTGCCACAAAGAATACATATATTTAAGATATGAAAGTCCTAGTTTCTACCGTTCAAAAGTTGTGATCAAGGTAAAAGTTTTTGAAAAGTAGTTAAAACTCCAAGGTCAAGGTCAAAGGGTCAAAGTTCTTGGTATGCAATGAAAGGTCTTCTCACAAGGATTACATACGTGAAGTACGAAAGTGCTTACCCTAACCGTTTAAAAGTTTTGGTCAAAGTTAAAGTTTTTTCAGAAGTAGGTAAATCTCCAAGGTCAAGGACAAAAGGTCAATGTTGTTGGTATACTGCGAAAGGTCTTGTCACAAAGAATACATGTGTGAAATATAAAAGTTCTTGTATCTACCGTTCAAAAGTTGTGACCAAGGTTATAATTTTCAAAAAAATAGTTAAAACTCTAAGGTCAAAAGGTCAGAGTTCTTGGTATCCAATGAAAGGTCTTCTTACTACAATAACATGCGTGAAGTATTAAAGCCATAGCCCTTACCGTTAAAAAATTATGGTCAAGGTTATAGTTTTTTCATAAGTACGTAAATTTTTAAGGTCAAGGTCAAAAGGTCAAAGTTGTTGGTATCCAATGAAAGCTCTTGTCACAAAAAATGAATATGTGAAATATGAAAGTCCTAGTATCTACCATTAAAAAGTTATGACCAAAGTAAAAGTTTGAAATTTTTGAGTAAAAGTTGGTCAAACTCCAAGGTCAAGGTCAAAAGGTCAAATTTTCTGGTACCCAAAGAAAGGTCTTATCACAAGGAATACACAAATGAAATATGAAATTCATAGCTCTACTAAATCAAAAGTTATGGGCAAGGTTAAAGTTTTTGTGACGGACGACACTGATGTTAACGACAATGAAGTAAAACAGAGTTATGTTGATGCTGACAAATGGACGGACAGACGAATCAGATATATAATGTCCCCTCGCTTTCGCAAAAGCGGGGGGACAAAAATGTGAATATTAAAGTGATAAATGGTGATTATCGCGATCAAACATACAATTCTTTTTCAATTATCCTAATAAACAACTAATAATTTATTTTTAGTAATGTTTCCAAAATTTGATGCTGTGTTGGACTGGTTCGGGAAATCCCCTTTGAATCGACTTGAACCTATGTCTTTCTTCAGAAATGTCGTCCAACAAGTCATTGGTCTCCGAAAAGATGACAAAGAGGTAAACGTAATTTTTCAAAACAGCACTTTTTCCCCCAAAAAGGATCTGATCGCTTTTTGTTAAGGTTCTTCATCACCCTTTGTTCATACATGATGGTAATGATATTTAAATAGAACTGAAAAAGCATTAAAAATGCAAACAGTTTCAACTTTCTTGCAACTTGCAATGCAATATTTTAGAGATATCGACTTTTAGATAAATAATTCTACGGACTAAAAGTCATTCATCCTAATGAAGAGTTATCTTTCTTATCAAGAGGTCTATGAACCTTAAGGATATACTGTATCAGAATCTAGACATGCTGCCTTAATCTTGGTAGAAACGCAAAGACCTGCTGCAGATGATGTTGAATGCGCACCACGACACTGATGTTAACGATAATGAAGTAAAACAGAGTTACGTAGATGCTGACAAATGGAGGACAAGAGGTATATAATCAATATATTATCGTTTGCAGCTAACTGTAAAGTTTCACGTTACATCACAATCTAGTTGACAGCAGCACTCAAGGTAAATTGTACACGCCTCCTAACCGCAAGCTTTACAACTGGAACTTTCTTCGTATCCCTGATTGGTTGCTCATGCAACAGACTATTTCCGTGTCAATGTTGATAATTTGAGTTGACCAATCACATGAGTTGTTTACGCTGGATGCATCTGACGAAAAAGATCGTGACGTAACGTGAAACTTTACAGTTAGCTGCAAACAATTATGTAATCAAAATCACCCCATCCCTCTTTTAAGGGATACGTGTAACCATTTTTTTTCTAATTGTTTGTTTGTTGAACACCCCCTCTTGAGAATTTTTCACTATATATATGTAGTATATGGAAACGCCACCATTTGCCGGTGGAGAGCTGTAAATTTTGTCCTATATTCGGCATTTACGACCATTGAGCAGTGAGGGATCTCTTTTGTGACAACACTTATACTGCGATACGGGACCTCGGTTTATACGGTCTCATCCGAAGAAGCGGTATCCACGTCCCACAGTGGGATTCTAACCTGCGGCATAAGGATTAATTCCTTATTGCTCTGCTCGAACCACTGCACCACGTAGATAACACGTGTATTTGTGATATGTCTGAAAAAAATTCTGTCACTGATGCATATTTTATTCAAATTATATGGAAAGAACTTGTTAAATTTTTATGGTTAAGACTTTGCTTAAAGAGTGAGGGTTTTTTTTTTATTTTTATTTTTTACAATATTGTGAGTAAGCTTATCGAGGTCACATGTTCTCCTAGACTCTTCTCTATAAGCGAGATCGACTATTGGTTCTGGAAGTTGAAGATAAAACTGAGGGACGAAAAGTTGTGATTGATATCACATCTATATGTACTATTTATTTATCAAATAATTTTTCAGGCTTATCGATGGAGGAGGTGCTGGGGAATTCCATTCTGTTCATGTTAGTGGGGTATGATACCACCTCTAACGCCCTGACCTTTGCCTCTTATAACCTCGCTACAAACCCAGAATGTCAGGAAAAGCTGATTGAAGAGATCGACACCGTTCTGGGAAAGGTTTGCTAAATATTGTTCTTCACATTTGTAATAAAGGATTCCATGTAATTATACCCTCTCTTCTTTCGGTTTTCTAAGTTATTAGTTTCCACTGCGAGTTATCCTCCATAAGTAAATTAAATCTAGCTGGGTTTCTTTTTGGTAAAAGCATTTTCTACTACCTATGCATTTGAACAAAGCTGAATTAATGCACTGCATGAATTCCTCAAATATAAGTCGACCTTTATATGGGTTGGGGTGTAAAAAGAAAAAAGTGCCTGAAAAATACTTCGAAAAGCACAAAGTGAAAAGAAAATGTCGAGATTCGATAAAAATTATTCCGAGGGATCTGTGAGAAGTGGGAAGGCGTTTCCCTTAAGTTTCAAGAAATGAGAGAGCTGGGCATGAAAATTATAACAGCAAAAGTCGATTTTCGGACCCCCCCCCTTCTAATACAACGTGCGTTTGATGTCAGTTAATTCAGGATAATGTTTTTAAAAAGTTCTTACGTACTAAATTAAGGAGGAAATATTTTTTTCATTATGAAACCATACCTGTCAGACAAACACCATTATTTTGATATCGGATGTAATTTTATTTATAGAAATAATATTTAATTGGTTTAGTTTTGTATTATGTAATATAATCATAACCTTTTTTATTAACATCATGTGGTTGTATTTTAAATATTTGATTGGTTTAGTATTGTATTATGTAATATAATCGTAACCGTTTTATTAACATCACGTGATTTGGTTATTGACAGGAGTGCCCTAATTATGACAACATACAGAAACTGGACTATCTAGACAGAGTGTTCTGTGAGTCACTCCGGCTGTACCCCTCCGCTGCCAGGTATCACAGTTAATAAATGATTGAATAATTCCCATCTTTCTGATTAGTTGAGATCCTAGAGCTAGAAAAATATTGTTATGTTTACCTCCAAGTGAGATTTCACATTTATTATACCCCCCGCTTGAAAAGCGGGAGGGTATATAGTTACATAGAAATATATATCGTTAATTCGTCCACTTCCGTCCGTGGAAGCATCCTGGGGTAGTGTAGATTCTAAATTATTCCGTCTGTCTGTCTGTCCGTCCGTCTGTTACGAAATATATTGGGGTACCCATCTCTTATCCGTAACTCCTCTCATACCACTGAATGAAATTTGATGAAACTTTCACAGAATCTTTATTACATATTGCCATTGTGCACCTCCTATTTTACTTTTTGATCCGACACATATTTTGGGTTTCCCGGCCACAGGAAAACATGGACTTTTTCACCACTTATAACCATAGGGGAGGCGGGGGGTATCATTTAGTGAGCTCATCGCTCACAGTACCTCTAGTTTTTTTTTTTTATAATTGGACTGAAAAGTACAGATCTGGAAAATCCAAACTGTTACAAATAGTTTTGTTAAGTTATTTAAGGTGACTTAACTTCCAATCAGATTTACACAACATTCGGGCAGATAAATTCTGGGGTGGGCGTGGGTATTTGCAGGGGTGAAAGAACCCATCCACAGGCATTTGGATCCCTTAAAAAAATTTGTGTGTAAAAAATTTTTTTTTTCAACACCTCAAATTTTTTTCTAAGCGATCTAAAGGCCTGTGGACCCATCCAGACACTTTTTCCTGGATGCCAAGTGAACACCCTTGGATGAGTTGGGTTTTTCCAAGTCATCATGATGATTTAGCCACATTCAAAGTACATTTAATATTTACCTCGCCTTTTGGTCTCAGTAAATATATCATACTCCTCATGCACTTGGCTAAATCATCATGATAGTAACCTCAAAAACAGCAATATACTTTTCTTTTATCATTACTTATATTGATACATGTATAGACAATTTTTGTTTCTGTATTAGGACTAACAGACTAGCTGAGTCAGATGTTGTCATTGAAAATTACACAATTCCAAAGGGCACTGATATTTCGTTCCCCATATACAGCATACACAGAGACCCCAGGTACTGGGAGGACCCTGAGAAGTTTGATCCAGACAGGTGAGTTGGCACTGTCTGTATAAAATCAGTGGCAGCACATTGAACAAGCTAATGCAGAAAATATGTGTCCCCTGCTTCAGTTAAAGTGATAAATGGGATCTGAGGGTAGAGTCAAAGGGGGACACTTTAAGGAGGGGGCAGACCATAGATAGTTATGGTATCATTATTAATTGCAAAAAATCAAAAGCTTCGTGAGATAAATGTCCGGAAATGAAAGTTTTACACACAGAAAGAATATATGTATAAACGACCTTGATCTTTGACCTTAAGACCTCAAAATCAACAGGGGTCTTCCTTAGGGCATAGGGAGGTGTGGTATTAAATTTCAATGCAAAAGCTCTAAGGCTTCTTGAGATATCGCAGAAACGAAAATTTTAAAATAGACAAGGTCAAGGTCAATGAAAGAAAAAAGTATAAAATTCAAGAGAAACGGGAGCAAATCATAAACTTGTGGCTTATATGGTAAGGTCGATGAAACAAGATTATACAACAGTATATATGGCTACATGTGTCTTTTTAAAGAAATAAAGTCATTTTAGGAAGTCCAAGGTCACAGGGGATTTTGTAAACTCACTAAAATTAATACTCTAGTTTAATACTCAATCTTAAGTGTCAAAACAAATTTATATAAAAAAAATGTTTCCAACTTCAGCAACTTTAATACATAGATTGTAAATGATATAATGATTAAATGTAACTGGGATTTTTTATGACTCTGCATATAAACATACAATTTTTTTTTTAGAAATATGAATTTTGATCTAATTTTTATTCAGGTTTACCCCAGAAAACAAAGCTAAGAGACATCCCTATGCTTATCTCCCGTTTGGGCATGGACCACGCAGCTGTATAGGCATGCGCCTTGCCCAAGTGGAGATGAAGTTCGCAATGACCTACATTCTTCAACACTACAGATTTAAAACTTGTGCAGAAACGGAGGTAGAGACTTTGAAAACATTTGTTTACCATGAATATGGATTTAAGTCAAGTTTATTACATTATATATTTTCTTGATTCTGTCCTTAATTGCTTTGTAGACAATATATTAAGAGGAAGTTTAATTTCTTCATTCAGAATTTTTTTGTGTGTGTGTGAAATTATTACATACATGTATATATGATTCTTGTACAATTTGCATGTAGTGTACAGTGACTTTATCAATTAAAATGTAAAATCTGTTTTAAAAAAAATAAGAAACAAAAACTGTGCTAATGAGAAATTCTTAATTGATTAAGTCATATTTAAAGAATAATATGATAACAACATATACCATTTTTCAGATTCCACTGACAATATCCAAAGCAGGACTCTTGAAACCAGAAAACGGTGTCAAACTATTGCTGGAACCCCGAGAGTGAACATTATATTCACATCTGTACAGTTAATACTGAACATGATCGTGTATTAAAACAGATGAAAATATATCTTGTAGGTTTAAAACTTTCTTTTACTTGTACTTGTATATTGTATTATAAACGTGGATCATTAATGTATAGAAAATTATTTGCCATTGTACATGTACATGAAATTAATGTGATTTTGTTTTCTAAGTATTTGAAGTGTTTATTACATGTGTTTAGAATAGCTAGAGGATCCCTGGGTATATACATAATAAAAATTTAAATGATAGATATTTTTGTACTTATTAATTGGCTTTGTAATATAATGATGAAAAAAAGAAACTTATGTAGAATTTGGTTTTTTTTTCATTGGTATGACATTAAAATAAAGTTTGTTAATTTTTCAGTAGAATATTGTTATTATTCTAGAAACTTTTCACAGCACAAGTTACATAAATTCCATGTTCTTTTTTTCAATATCACTTGAGATAAATTAAGGGATCAGAGAAGAGCATGTTCTACGTATGAATAATTTGTAAAACAAGGTAAGTTATTGACAAACAAGTTGATGAAGCAAGAATATCATCAGTCTTGTTTAAAGTCACCATTTCATCAATTCTATGAATATACATAGATGTTCTGACGTAGAAAAGGTACATTTAAATTTTTGTTAGAATACTCCTGGTGTGGGGAAGAAAACCTCAAACAGTTTGATTTATTCAGAGCTCATTCGATCAAATTGAGAACAACTGAAAATTGCATTCTTAAGTCCTTTTATGAAAGTAAAAAAAAAACCTGTCTCTTCCAAGTCTATGTCAACTTTGGACAGAAAATAATTTAGATGATAGAGCTTATAACATTATAAAACAACGACTTTTAAATGTTTCAAAGCAAACTATAACAGAAAGTATATCAAACTCTCCAAAGTGTAATTAATTCCAACATTTAATTGACAATTTCTGTTTGCTATCATATTTGTCAAAAAATATTGACAAAAAATTCAGACAACTATTAACAAAATGCAGTTGAATATTGATACAGGTCAACACCATAACATACCTAAGATTAATACATTACATGTATGTATATGTTGTAATCTCAATGATGTAGAAGATGTATTTCATTTTATTTTGAAATGCCATTTGTATATATTGATCTAAGAAAGAAATTTTTGAAAAGTATTATTATACATATGTACTAAGCCAAGTGTCCTAAAATTAATTCAGCTGTTAAGTTCTAATAATATTAAAGATCTCTTAAATTTGGGCAAATTTTTGAATGCTGCCACAATGTTAAGAAAAAAATAAAATTCATGCATAGTATTATTTTCATGTATGTGTCCTTTACGTTCACTCTCTCTGTATGTTTTTTTTTTCTTATTATTATAATCATGTATTATTTAATTAGTTACACAGTCAGTTAGTGACCTAATACGGATTCATACAGGGTGTGAAATGGAAATCCGTATTGGGCGAGGCGAAGCCGAGTCCCAATACCGATTTCCATTTCACACCCTGTATGAATCCATATAAGGCCACTAACTGACTGTGTAACGAATTTATCCCGCTGAAGACCTTTTTCAATAAAAAAAATATTTTTGCATATTATGAAAATATTAAGTTTTAATCCAATAACAATCAACATAAAATATCGTTACGGTAACAAGAAATTTAACTAAATTACCTACGTACACCGTAGATCAGATCTTAAAAATCACGTAATTCTTTTAAGGTATTTCCATCTTCCTTTGATGTCATAGGTTTTTGCAAAAACTGTTATTAATTTAAATTCATGCCCAATAGAACAAAGTTTTCTGTAAGAATGCTTTTCAATAGATGTTATGATAAATATTGTTAAGTAATAGAACATAAAAAATGTATATTTCATTATTTAAAGCTATACTCGTATATGGCGTATCTGAGCTAAAAAATAAAAATACAAGATTAAGTGTAGATTTACATAATATTTGTTATTTACGTTCAAATTCAATATTTTCACCGATTTTGAGCTTAAATACCCTATCGATAAATTGACTTTCAGCTGTGTCTGTTATTTAATTCCGAGTCGGAAATAAATCGGTTATTGTTTTAAATCTGTGATATCTATGAAACGTGATTGATTTAAATTGCGTAATTTACAGGGAAGTCTAATCTTTATATAAAGTAACAAAAGAAATAGAAAGATCTTTTTAATTCTTGTCATTCTGAACTTATCAAAAATACGTCAAATACGACTTTAATCAATTATTCAATCTTTGAAAAATTGTGACAAGGGCAATAACTCCTTCTCAGATATCTTCATGCAGACACTTTCTTTATTGTACTTTTAATGTAAAATAGTTAACCTGATATTCATAATTCAAAACTACCAAATAGCAAGTATTTTGGAACTCTTAGAATCAGAATTATGCATTTGAACCAGTTTTTACATAATATTTACAATACTATTTTCAAAAAAATTACAATTTTTTTTTCATGTTGACATACACTTCTGTTTATTTATGTCTCTCGTCTTAAATAATATGGTGACCTATAATTTTTTTGCGATGATTGGTAAATTTAAACTATAATAAATGAAAATAAATGCAGTTTTTGTACTTTGAACCATTAAAATTGTGAGGGTGGAAAAACCTTAATATTTATCATTTACCGATATTTTACAATATGCATGTACTTTAAATCATCACTTGTCACCGGATTTTGAAATAAATATTTTCTTAATTTAATTTAAACAATATTTCAACATAAAAGGAGTGGACAGCAGACACTGTCTATATAAGTCCTCTCCATGATACAAAGATCAAGGTCATACATGTACAAGTAAATATTAGCTACATAACATTGAAAAATATTTAAGGAATAACTGTCTTATTTTTCGAATTCATGAAGTGATCAATGGATTGGCTTGTGTGATAATTTGCATAAACGCCGAAGGCGTTTATGCATAAAATTATCACACAAGCCAATCCATTGATCATCTTCATGAATTCGAAAAATCTGACAGTTATTCCTTATATTTACATGCTTTGATTCCGCCAATCCACGGGCTCCAAGCCTGCTTCTCTCTAGGTGTTGTCCCGCCCTGCAAGTGGTTTTTTTTTGGAACCGCGCCAAGACATTCATGAGGAAATAAATTACATTTACAATTGGTAATTTTATCTCGGACAAAGACATTGGAAATGTAAATATAAACATATACATGGGTATATTCAATAAAAATGTACATAAGAAAGGCAAATTAAGAAGAAAAAATTATAAATGAGCTGATGGTCTAATTTAAGTTTGCATTCTAACATACATGACTGAAAATTATTTTAATAAGTGTATAAATTTATAAGAAAACTTAAATAGATGTAGGTTCTGTGGTTTGACAATTTAAAAACAAAAGAAGAAATAATATCATGCAAATCTTTGAATATTTTCTCCTTGTTGTTATACTTTGATAAATTAACTGCACGCGTCAAAAGTGCGAAAAAATCTTAAGGCCATACCAATTTAATTTCTTGTTTGTCAGACATCTAATGAAAAAAGTAGGAGCAGGCAAGGGATTAAATAGTAACATTTTTACTTTTTGAGCGACAATCATATTTTTTCTACATTTTTCTTATCTGTATGTATATTAAATCTATATTAAAAATATTCTTATATTCGTTGCATAATGCTGAAAATAAATAACATTCTAAACTTAATTGGGAAAAATAAGAGTTATGAAATACAGGTGTAATTTACTGCGTACAAAAAATGTATAAATATCAAAGTCTTTTTAAGAATATTCATTGCATAATGCTAAAAATAAATAACATTCTTATGTAACTTAAATGGGAAAAATAAAAGTTAATTATAAAATACTGGTGTAATTTACTTCGTACAAATTTAAAACCTTTTTAAGAATATTCATTGCATAATGCTGAAAATAAGTTCTTTAGAATGGGACTTGGGAATTTTTGGATCAATCAAGGTGTTTTTTTTTATCCAACACAGTTTGTATCATTATACGAGGAAAGACTGTTGGCTATCTACTTACAAGATTGTAATACTTTAAAAAAAAATATCAACAAAGTGTTTCTGTATAAGCACATATCGCGTGCGACAATTTTTCCAGAATCCATGAATATTTGAATAATTCTATTCATTCTAAGATATAGATGTATTTTTAATACTAGAATAATGTTTTCTTCCAATAAATTGGGTATAGACACAGGAAGAGACCCGTGGGCCACGTCGCTCACCTGAGCACTGTGTCTAAAAAAAAAAAACAAAAAACAAAACAAACCCAAAAATCAATCCAGTATTGAAAAGTTCATATGAATAAGTGGTCCTGACCTGCCCCTAAAAAAAAAGGGGGGTATGCATGATTTGAATGACCTTGAATCTACACTAACGAATAGCATTATATTTTTTTTTGACCTACTGTGGTTTTCTTCCCTATAAGTTTGAACTCGTCATTTTATTTTTTTCTGCTAATCTGTATTTTGCACATCAAATTCCAACTTATTTCCGCTATTTTGATTTTGTTTACTCTCAGAGCATGTAAGTATACATACAACTTTTACCATCTATATATAATGTGAGATGAATAAAGTGACGCTAAAAATCCTTCTTCATTTTCTTTATTCTGTCTTAAAAATATTTTAGACCTTGCTTTTTTTTTTTTCACAGGTCAAATCCATATTTTATACACTGTAAACTAAAAATAATGCAGTATTGATTTGTCAAAAATTCATAATATTATATGTAGGAAAGATCATATATAAACCTTGTTCTTTGAAATCTTGAGGATAAACATGTAATTCAAAACACCCTTCCTACACTAATTTGAATTAAAAAAAAATAGTGCGTAAAGTTTTAATATAATTTTAGTTTTAACACATTATCTACACATTCTCATGTGAACATGCTGCTTAAAAAACTGTCATGCTCTCTTACTGAACAACAATTCATGTATTCTAGCCACTTTGTAACTCAACCTATAACGGTTACTGTAGAAGTTGGAGTAATCTTCATGATAGAAGTATTGACACAGATTCCAGCAAAACTCATGCAGAAACCACCAGTTTGAGTATGCATGGCGTTTAAGTCGTATCCACAGTTGGGGACAGATGTCGTAGTATTCGCCCACCAACCACCAGCGAGAAGTCCAGAGCAGTCCCGAAAGAAACTCACATCCCCCGGATGATCCTGGGTTACAAACTTATTTCCATTGGCTGTTTCCATGGTATCAGCGTAATTACCCGTATATTCAGACACATTGAGTCGGTAGTAGTTTCTCTCATTCTCTATCCGGAACTCCTCGTACTGCGCCCAGTATAGTTTACCGCTGTAACCGACCCCCTCCACCCTCAGTTTGTACGAATTCTGGGCAAGAATATTGAAAACTTTTTCATTTCCTAACCAGTAATCACCAGAGACATTTCCGAAACCATTGAGAAAATCCGGCCATTTTCTGCAAATAAAAAAGTTCATTTAAATGGCTCTCGATATAGAGACAAGCAGCATTTTTTGGTCTTTTATGACCATACTGGTTCCAAACATAGACCTATAAGGCATATTATTGTACGTCAGTGTTCCAAACAAGCTATGGTCTCAAGTATCAACCTTTTGGGTCAGTGTAACGTTAACTATACCCAAAGCATGGCATATCAGGGGCCCGTTTTACAAAAGAACTTACGACTAAGACCGAAAACTTCAGGTTATTGTACATGTAAAACTTTGCAAAATTAATTATTATGTTCCCCAAACGAAGTTGGGGAACATATTGTTTTTACTCTGTTTTTTATTATGTTCCCCAAACGAAGTTGGGGAACATATTGTTTTTACTCTGTTTTTTATTATTATTATTTTTCTTCTTCTTCCTGGGTACTTTTTTGTCCGCGAGTGATCTTGTAAACTGTTCATCCGAAGTAGGTAAAACCTTTTTAGGGTTAGTAGACATGTTATGTAGATTTGCGGAATCAAGGTCATTTTCCGCGCACGTGCTTGCAAGAGCGCGCACGTGCAACACGTGAAATGACTAATATAGATATAGCCGCAACTTTTCTATTTCTTGATGAAATGCGTTGAAACTCATAATATAAGGATATATTAGTAGCCTAGACATGATGACATGGTCAAAATAGCAAGATCTCATGCGCATGCACGTGCGCTTCGCTCTGATTGGCTGAAACTAAAGTCTCAATATTTTTCATATTTCTTGTCATAATCTTTTGAAATTTTGAACAAAGTCTTAAATTATGAAGATCTACAGCATGATATATAAAAATTTTCATGAAAGCATGCGCATGCGTGCGTGCTGCAATCTGATTGGCTGAAACTTTAAATGGCTATATCTCCTTTGTTTTTTGACGAAACGCTTTGAAATTTAAAACATAGTCATGCAGTAGGATATCCTACAATACGATATAGAAAGAAAATCATAAAATCACGCGCATGCACGTGTGCTGCAATTTGATTGGCTGAAACTTTAAATGGCTATATTTATTTTGTTTTTTGACGAAATGTTTGGAATTTTAAATATAGTCATTCATTAAGATATCCTTCAATACGATTAAGATAAAAAAATTCATGAAATCACGCGCATGCATGTGTGCTGCAATCTGATTGGCTGAAACTTCAAATGGCTATATCTCCTTTGTTTTTTGACGAAATGCTTTGAAATTTAAAACATAGTCATGCAGTAGGATATCCTACAATACGATATAGAAAGAAAATCATGAAATCACGCGCATGCACGTGTGCTGCAATTTGATTGGCTGAAACTTTAAATGGCTATATTTATTTTGTTTTTTGACGAAATGTTTGGAATTTTAAATATAGTCATTCATTAAGATATCCTTCAATACGATTAAGATAAAAAATTCATGAAATCACGCGCATGCATGTGTGCTGCAATCTGATTGGCTGAAACTTCAAATGGCTATAACTCCCTTGTTTTTTAAGCAAACAGGATGGGATTTAGAACATAGATAAATATAAGGGACTCCTACAAGAAGGTGTATGCATCATGCACTTGCTTGCACGTGCGTGCACGTGAAATGAGTAAAATTAAAAATACACTCGAATGAGAGTATTTTTTAATACTTTTTGATAACATCTTTGATATCAAGTATATTAAAATATATAGATAGTGTAGACAAGAATATATGGCCGTTACGCACATGAACACGCATACAATGCTTAAATTTAAATATATTTTGTATTCTTCTGGGAAGACCTTGATAAGTTTAAATTCCATTAAGTATTTCTTATCTAATAGAGATTACAGGGGATATATGGCACCAAAAGGGAGTTGGGGAGCGTTTGGGGAACATCTGTAATGGTCCCCGTTACAATTAGCACTAGTTATTATTATTATGTTCCCCAAACGAAGTTGGGGAACATATTGTTTTTACTCTGTTTCTTATTATGTTCCCCAAACGAAGTTGGGGAACATATTGTTTTTACTCTGTTTCTTCTTATTATTATTATTATTATTATTCTTTTTTCTTCTTATTTCTTCTCCGGTACTTTTTTGTCCGGAAGTGTTCTCAGAAACTGTTCACCAAACTAAGTTAAAACCTTTTTAGGGTTAGTAGGCATGTTGTGTAGATGTGCCGAACGAAGGTCATTTTGCGCGCATTCGCATGCACGTGCGGGCGCGTGCAATGAGTAAACTGACTGATATATTTAATATGGTTGTAACTTTTATATGTTTTGATAAAATGTTTTGAAACTCATTATATAAAGATATATAAGTTGTGTAGATAAGATGACATGGTCAAATTTGCATGAACTCACGCGCATGCACGTGCGCTTTGCTCTGATTGGCTGAAACATAAATCTCAATATCTTTTTTGTTTTATGATGAAATGCTTTGAAATTTATAACATAGACATGTATTAGGATGTACTACAATATGATATATAAAATTTTTCATGAAATCACGCGCATGCACGTGCGCTGCAATCTGATTGGCTGAAACTTTAAATGACTATAACACCCTTGGTTATCAACCAAACAGCATGGGATTTAGAACATAGATAGACATAAAAGACTCCTACAAGATGGTATGGTCACCATTCACATACATGCACGTGCGTGCACGTGCGCTTTGCTCTGATTGGCTGAAACAAAAATCTCAATATCTTTTTTGTTTTTTTACAAAATGCTTTGAAATTTAAAACATAGGCATACTTTAAGATGTCCTACAATAAGATATATAATAATTGTCATGAAAACACGCGCATGCACGTGCGCTGCAATCTGATTGGTTTAAGCTTTGAATGGCTATAACTCCCTTGTTTTTCAACCAAACAGGATGGGATTAATAACATAGACAGACATAATGGACTCCTACAAGAAGGTATGGTCATCATGCACGTGCGTGCACGTGCATATGAGTAAAATAGTGTAGACAAGATGATGCGCACGCCTGCATTGCTTTAATTCGAAATACTTGGTATACTTTTGGGAAAACGTTATTTACGTCTTAAATGCATAGATTTTGCCTTCTTTCAAGAAAATTACAGGGAATATGGCACGAGAAGGGAGTTGGGGAGCGTTTGGGGAACATCTGTAACGGTTCCCGTTACAATTAGCACTAGTTATTATTATTATTATTATTATTCTTTTTTCTTCTTATTTCTTCTCCGGTACTTTTTTTGTCCGGAAGTGTTCTCAGAAACTGTTCACCAAACTAAGTTAAAACCTTTTTAGGGTTAGTAGGCATGTTGTGTAGATGTGCCGAACGAAGGTCATTTTGCGCGCATTCGCATGCACGTGCGGGCACGTGCAATGAGTAAAATGACTGATATATTTAATATGGTTGTAACTTTTATATTTTTTGATAAAATGTTTTGAAACTCATTATATAAAGATATATAAGATGTGTAGATAAGATGACATGGTCAAATTTGCATGAACTCACGCGCATGCACGTGCGCTTTGCTCTGATTGGCTGAAACAGAAATCTCAATATCTTTTTTGTTTTATGATGAAATGCTTTGAAATTTATAACATAGACATGCATTAGGATGTACTACAATATGATATATAAAATTTTTCATGAAATCACGCGCATGCACGTGCGCTGCAATCTGATTGGCTGAAACTTTAAATGAGTATAACTCCCTTGGTTTTCAACCAAACAGCATGGGATTTACAACATAGATAGACATAAAGGACTCCTACAAGACGGTATAGTCACCATTCACATGCATGCACGTGCGTGCACGTGCGCTTTGCTCTGATTGGCTGAAACAAAAATCTCAATATCTTTTCTGTTTTTTTACAAAATGCTTCGAAATTTAAAACATAAGCATACTTTAAAATGTCCTACAATATGATATATAATAATTGTCATTAAAATACGCGCATGCACGTGCGCTGCAATCTGATTGGCTTAAACTTTAAATGGCTACAACTCCCTTGTTTTTGAACCAAACAGGATGGGATTAAGAACATAGACATACATAATGGACTCCTATAAGAAGGTATGGTCATCATGCACGTGCGTGCACGTGCAAATGAGTAAAATAGTGTAGACAAGATGATATCGTCATAACGCTCATGCAATCACATGCGCACGCCTGCATTGCTTAAATTTGAAATGCTTGGTATACTTTTGGGAAAACGTTGTTTACGTCTTAAATGCATAGATTTTGCCTTCTTTAATGAAACTTACAGGGAATATGGCACGAGAAGGGAGTTGGGGAGCGTTTGGGGAACATCTGTAACGGTTCCCGTTACAATTAGCACTAGTTTTTCTTCTTCTTCCTGGGTACTTTTTTGTCCGCGAGTGATCTTGTAAACTGTTCATCCGAAGTAGGTAAAACCTTTTTAGGGTTAGTAGACATGTTATGTAGATTTGCGGAATCAAGGTCATTTTCCGCGCACGTGCTTGCAAGAGCGTGCACGTGCAACACGTGAAATGACCAGTATAATAGATATAGCCGTAACTTTTCTATTTTTTGACTATATGCTTTGAAACTCATAATATAAGTATATATTAGTTGTATATGCATAATGACATGTTCCTCGTGCACGTGCTTGCAAGAGCGCGCACGTGCAACACGTGAAATAACTACTATAATAGATATAGCTGCAGCTTTTCTATTCCTTGAAAAAATGCTTTGAAACTCATAATATGAGGATATAAATAGTAGTAGTATAAATTAGTAGTATAGATATGATGACATGGTCAAAATAGCAAGATCTCACGCGCATGCACGTGCGCTTCGCTCTGATTGGCTGAAACTAAAGTCTCAATATTTTTCATGTTTCTTGTCATAATCTTTTGAAATTTTGAACAAAGTCTTAAATTATGAAGATCTACAGCATGATATATAAAAATTTTCATGAAAGCATGCGCATGCGTGCGTGCTGCAATCTGATTGGCTAAAACTTTAAATGGCTATATCTCCTTTGTTTTTTGACGAAATGCTTTGAAATTTAAAACATAGTCATGCAGTAGGATATCCTACAATACGATATAGAAAGAAAATCATGAAATCACGCGCATGCACGTGTGCTGCAATCTGATTGGCTGAAACTTCAAATGGCTATATTTATTTTGTTTTTTGACGAAATGTTTGGAATTCTAAATATAGTCATTCATTAAGATATCCTTCAATACGATTAAGATAAAAAAAAATCATGAAATCACGCGCATGCATGTGTGCTGCAATCTGATTGGCTGAAACTTCAAATGGCTATAACTCCCTTGTTTTTTAACCAAACAGGATGGAATTTAGAACATAGATAAATATAAGGGACTCCTACAGGAAGGTGTATTCATCATGCACTTGCTTGCACGTGCGTGCACGTGAAATGAGTAAAATTAAAAATACACTCGAATGAGTGTATTTTTTAATACTTTTGGATAACATCTTTGATATCAAGTATATTAAAATATATAGATAGTGTAGACAAGATAATATGGCCGTTACGTACATGATCACGCGTACAATGCTTAAATTTAAATACATTTTGTATTCTTCTGGGAAGACCTTGTAAGTTTAAATTCCATTAAGTATTTCTTATTTAATAGAGATTACCAGGCGCGTAGCTGCCTATACGCAAGTACGCAAGTGCGTACACATCATTTTCCAAAAAAAAAAAGAAAGAAAGAAAGAGGGATAAAAGAAAAGAAGGAAAAAAGAAAGATAGAAAATTATTCGGGGAAAAAGAGGCACTACCCGTGTTTCAAATTATTTTGCGTCTTATTCAGGCACGTAGCATCAGGGGGGCCAGGGGGGCCTGGCCCCCCCACTTTTTCCCCCAACATTCCCTTTACTATAGAAAATGTCTATTGAAAAGATGGTTGCCCCCCCCCCCCCACTTGTTACCACATTATGTTTATAGCAAGGAAATATAGGAAAAAATTGGAAGTGAAAGGAAATTTGCCCGGATTTAAATTTTAAATTTTGGTTTTTTTTTTTTTTTTTTTTTTTTTTTGCTTGTCAACTTTTTTTAGGTAAGTAAAACAAATTTTTCTCAGGTTGGCTCCCCACTTTCAAAAACGATGCTACGTGCCTGTTATTGTTTCGATTCAAATTTTGTTCAGCATGTCTGCACATTCAAATTTAGTCCTTTATAAAATCAATTCAAAAAACATCTTTCAACATTATTGAGGGAAAAAATATTGTTGAACCAAAATGTTCAACTGTTAATCCACGTAATCCTGATTATCCGGACAAATATTTGATGAAGGAAAGCGATCTAAGGGACTTTGATCGAAAGAAAAAGTTACAAAGGTCTTGGACGACGTATATACAAGATTTTTAATTTCCGTAGAGGTAATGAATAAATGTCGTTCAACAATTTAAATTATGGTGAACAAAATAAATAATAATATAGCTTCTTTTACTGATGTTACCAATTTAAAGAATTATATTATAATTGAAGCATTCTCGAATCGTTTCAGCGATCAAATATGAAAGTAATCCAAAGACAACAACACCCCCGTTTATATAATTGAAATATTTAAACTCCAATGATAACGATATTGAAATTGCTACTCTGTTTTATCTTGATACACTTGGAAACTTTTTTCCAATACCAATATATGCGTAAATTAATTTGATAAATTATCGTTCTCTACCCGAAGTACATGTATCAATGGAAGCAGTATAACTTAGCTAAATTTTTGCTCGAGAAAAGTGACATCGTGATTTCTTTTGCGAGAAAATGACTGAAAAATTTCGTAAAATCCAGGAGCTTCCGGGGGCTTCGCCTCCTGGGCCCCCACCAGGGCTTCGCCCTGGACCCACTGGGGGCCTCAGGGCGGCCCCCAGACCCCCGACCGTTTTCTGCGTACACTTCGTTTCCATGCTGGCTACGCGCCTGATTACAGGGAATATGGCACCAAAAGGGAGTTGGGGAGCGTTTGGGGAACATCTGTAACGGTCCCCGTTACAATTAGCACTAGTTCTCTTTGAAATTGCTTGTGTAGAAATATCTTATCACGTTCCTTTTAAAAAGTTAAAAATTATTTTCGATATAATATTAATTAAAAAATTATATAAAGAATTTGGTCTTAAGTCGTAAGTCCTTTTGTAAAACGGGCCCCTGATGTGAAAATCCCTCTCCGAGATACTTACGGATTTTCCGGTGCATTCGTTTAACATTTTTATTCAGTATTGATTTTACTTACCGGTTAATGCCACAGCATGGGATCCACCCAAAAATTATCCCCTGTTTTACATTGTACTATGCTTCTCAGACGACACGTTCCTCGAAAATATATAATTTTTCCCAAGAGTTTCTCATTAAAGTATAGGTACTTAAAGAAGCTTCCTCACAAAAAATTGAGGTACCTTACCATGCATTTGGACAAGATACCAGAGGATGGCATTTCTTATATATAATCCTTATGGGTAATCTGAATGGTCTCTGTCACAATTTTTGTTGTACTTATATTTTAATCATATTGAAAAGAATGTAGAAATCACAACAGAAAGCCAATTATGAATAATTTTTTATATAATATTAGGAAATACAAAACATATATTTGAAGAACGTGTCGTCTGACCTTAACATTGATTTAATTAACTTACCTGTATGGACTTGAAAACGGGATCCGCCCCTCAGTTCTCCTCTGTATGACAGTCCAACCCTGATCACAGTAGACGGGGAACGGATGTGGGGACTGTGGGGGGTGAATGGTATAGACCCCAGGAGTCGGCACATTGGAGTAAACATCCAGACAATCTGTTTGTATGAACCATCGTTCATTCAAAAGTATAGGCTTTAACAACATCTCATGATAAACGTGATGGTTTTGACTTTTCTATCAATAACTACCATAATTTATGTAAAATATACCATTATCACCTGCATATGAGGGTTATATCTCTTTTTTATTATTTAGATACGAAAAAGCACGTTCTACAACTTCTAAGGGATGGAGACTATGACAAATAAGTTGATGATACAAAGATATCAGCAACCTCGTTTAAAATCGACGTTTCGCGTATGGTCGATACAATTGACATTTTTTGCAAATACATTCTATCAAGTATATCGTGCTGTGTACATGAATTTTTCAAAGAATAAAGTGGCTGAATTTATGATGTTTTCATTAATATGAAATTTACCATGCAATATCGTAGTAAATGGCGTAGTATGTGCTGGTGCTAATGAGGATGTCACAGTCCCAGAAGAAGGCGTGATCACGTGCCCCCCAGGACTCGCAGTCGTCACGGTTCCAGCTACCAGTTGGTTCACGGTCTGTTTCACACCGTTTAGTGACGTCTGGATCCCTTGCATTGCTGAGTTAAAGGCCCTGGACGTGGTTCCCAGCTGAAGCTTTAAACTGGATATATCGGATTTTATTTGAGGCTGAGAAGATTCTAGCGCCTCCACTCTTGTAGAGAGACTACCACTACTTTGTATGGCTGCCAGTTTTTGTTTTGTTTGCAGGTTATCCTCCTCTAATTGTCGTACCCTTTCCTGCATCTGGATCAATGTTTGGACGTCATTTTCCAGTGACGTCACTTGTAACTTGAGAGCAGCGTTTTGTTTCGATAGTTCTTCCAAAGAGTCCTGCATTTGTTTTAACTGAGTCTGGACCTGGGCTGGGATTTCTCCTGGGTTGGAAGGCCCTACAGGACTTCCGGTATTGGGACGTGGAGTCGGGGTGGTGGTGGTGGTGGTACGTAATGTGGTGGAGTCAAGTGGGTCGTTAATAAATCCAGTTACCACAGAAAGGGCAGTTAACAATGCGTAAAGTTCTCTGTGAATAGACTTCGTTACACATGTACACATGGTGTTTGTCAAATCTTCAAAATCAGATATAGACAATTCCTTATCTCAAGGGGAATTCCATGATTTCATATCATATATATTATGGTTTGTTCCAATTCATTTGAAAGTATATGTATAATTATATTCGTGGCCGCAAATGATCTCGTAAAGAAAGTTCAACAGCTATATGTAGCTATATGTATATATAGTTCAGGATTTTTCTTGTGAGGATCCTTACCAATTCAAAACAAACAACTATATTGAACAAAGAATTATAAACAAAAACGAACCCCAAACCCCAACAAGGAGAAAAAGGGTATACCTTAAATTCAAACAATAAATCTTTATTTTATACTTCAGATCTTGTACAAAATGTTTTCGCCAAATTCAGTTCAATAATACTAAAAGAAAATCCTGAATGCGGATGGAAACTTCATCGTTTTATGAATTTCATTCATTCCTGATAATTTAAATTTAATGTACGTCTGAGCAGTTGATAGTAACTGGAAACATTAAAATTTAAGAAAGTGGGAATATCTTTCGATCTTGTACCATATCAAGAAACAAATATTAAGGTGGTCCATGCAACGCTCACCTGCTTAACTTAAGTAAACCATGCTGTACATGTTCTTTTCAAGATTTTCGTCTTTGTAAAGCCTGTTGTGGCCCCATCCTATGCCAGGGGTCATGATTTGGACAATTTAGAATCTACATTACCTCAGGATGCTTCCACGTACGTTCCAGTATTTGTGGCATGTTGGTTCTTGGGAAGAAGTTTTTAAAAAAGATTTTTTCTACATATTTTGATGTAAAATTAGGATTCCCTATTAAGGCCCCGCCCTACCCCCCGGGGGTAATAAATTGAACAATATAGGATCTACACTTCCCCAGGATGCTTCCACAAAAGTTTTAGCTTTCCTGGTCCAGTGGTTATTGAGAATTTAATTATCTCCCCTTGTGAGCGGGATGGGCCCTACTTTTAAATAATTTAAATTTCCTTTACTCAAGGATGATATGTACCAATTTTGGTTAAAATTGACACAATGGTTCTTGAGAAGTTGAAAATGTGAAAAGTTTACAGACGGACAGACAGACCGACGGACACCGGGTGATCAGAAAAGCTCACCAGAGCTTTCAGCTTAGGTGAGCTAAAAACGGGTGTTTTTGCCATCCGAGTAACCGTTTACTCGATTGGAAAAGAAAACGAGTACCTGGTTACTAAAAATCGTCCGATTTGTCAACCCAAGTTCTGAAGATGGAACCTTCGACCGAAAGCAAGATTGATGTAGACTTGCATTTTGCAGATAGTAAAAAAGTTCTATTAGACAGGATAAACATAAAGTTAAGAGATTTCTGTGCTTAAAATTTATTGATACGACATATGGAAAAAAGCAAATTATGAACTTTTTTCTTTACTCCAAAAATCGCTAATTTTTTTCAAGATAAAAAAAATACATGCATATCGGAGAAATGCGTGGAATCAAGCAAGAATTGAATGCCATTAATAAATCAAAGTACTCAGAAGTACAGAGAGCCGGGCTCATTTACAGCGTGGAATGAATTTCTTACATGAATCACGTTTATATTCTGATGAAAAAATTATTTTAAAAATATCAATATAAATGATAAGACACTGACAGTGAGTTTTTCAATCCTAATACCACGGTCCGATTTTGTCAGAATCAGAATTAATCTGGTACCGCAGCTGAATGTAAACAAACAGGCCAGTCTGGTTCCCTCTCCTGCTTTACCTCGTATGTGTAGAGAACTACGGTAACACTGATTATCAAAAATCCTTACGCTAATGAACTATGTTCTTTGACTTATGACGTTTTCAAAGTCATTACTACTAATGTTTATTTTATATAGATAAAACTTTGTTGCTTTATTTAGCGTTTGTATTATCTCAAAAGCGGTTGAGAGTAAGAACTATATTTTTGCACGTAACTTTAAAATGGCGACTATGGGGTCAACATCCTGCCTTGAACAGGATCACATAAGCCGGCAATTGCTCTTTGAGCAATAAGCCCGGCTAAAAAGTTAACGGTAAAAGGAGCCTTAATTTATACGCCTCTGTTCATCTTTACATAAGTTTAGACTAAGGTTAATATTTCATTGGTTTATGGAACAATGTCTTTTCGAAAAGTATAACTATAATTAAATAAATGAGGTTTTGACTACCTAGCTATTTCTATCTTAATTTTACGCTAATTTTGCGTTGCGCTGAATAAGGGGTTTATGTCTCCCAGTTGATTCAATATGCAAGAGCATGTTCTACATACAGTTTCTGTAATGGTGCAAGATATTGACAAATAAATTGATAATTCAAGAATATCAAGTCTCCTTTAAAATGATAATTTTGCAAGTTCTGTGGACGTCACAATGACCTTGGCAAGTACAATCTAACATTAAGTTATGCTGACTGATGTTTTTTGGTCAGATCAATTGTGATCAATTTCTTTTATACATAAAATTGTCTATGGATTTTAACTTTTGCTCGATCATGACAAGGAGCACATGGCGGTTGTGACTGTTCGGCAGGGGATGCTCACTCCTTCATGGCACCTGATCCCACCTCTGTGTTTTGGAGGTCCCTGTTTGCTCTGCTCCTGTTTTGTATTGTATAAACGGACTTTTGAGCTTGAATATACTGTTCCCAATGTTATATTTCATTTTAGAAGTTTCCAATCATGTATTTAAAACACTTTATGAGAA